ATGTTAATGAACAATCACACCTCTCCCCGCATATATAACACTGTTGAACCGTTATTTTCTTGTCACTTGACAATGATGTCATGACGACATCGAAACGTTGTGTAAAATTTCTATCGCTCATTTTTATTTTGAAATGTGACAATTCTTAGTTTTTTTTACCCCCAAAGTAGTTGTTTCTCCCTTTCGTTTTCAGTGCTGTTTTCTTGAAGTTCTTTGACCGGCCTGCTCTCGACAAGTGCTACACCGGTATAGTGTCCCATGAACGCTCGTGGGGCCATTTAGGGTCCAGGCTATCCATCTTAGAGCTATTGTTAGGCAACCTGTTAACACGGTGAATTAATGTCCCCATCGCTCTTTGTCCACGTTGAGTTGTATTTTACTGCTTGATCGGTGGGTGGTCTTAGTAGTTTTCGATCCAGCCGCAAAATATAGAATCTGAATAGCGAAACGGCTTGTACGATAATTATTGTCAAATGTACAAACAGACAAATATAAAATTTTAAAAACTCAAAATTTTACAAATAATGTAAATTCGCATGAATATGCAACTGGCAATGTCTTCCCTAACTCGTAGTTACGATAAACCGGCAGGTTTATTTGACTCTTTCATTGTTTTTTTCTTTTTTGTGCCAGCGTGATGGCGACTCTTTTGTGATTTAGTAACTTCTATTGCTTCCATGTCTCCCGTTCACGGACTTGAAATCGGATAATGCAACGTTCCTTTCAGAAATACTAATCAGATCGCAGCTTTGTATTGTAATGCCTCCCAATTTAAAATCCTTAATCACCCCATACAGAGCCTGAGTGGCCATGAAAGCGTGGCAATTTCATTTTACGTCTTTGTTCAAAAATAATTGAGTATATTCGTGTGATTAGTTTTGCAATGTAAACATATCGGTTTACATTTGCCGCCATTTTCATCAACGTGCGGACGACGTATCATTTAAAATCATGAGATTTTAACATCTTTACGAAACGGCCGTTATTAGGTATTCTAAGTGTTTTAAATTTTTGAAGTGTTCAAGGTTAAATCGAGGCCAAACGCGCAGAACAACATTTTTTGCACGAAATATTTTGTTCAATACTTTTGTTTTCATGTCTTTCTTTACGCCTGTATGTATTTTTCTCGCTTCCTTTAAGTGTCACTTATGTTAATATATTTCTCATTCGTCCTTGTACTAGTAAAATTGTCGTAAAATTCTGTTTAGGAAAAGATAAACAGCGAAACGTTTCTTTTTTAGAACTGATGCTCTTCAGCTTTCTTTTTTCAGCGGAGAATATGCGTAATTAGACTATTAAAAATAAAACAACTTCCTTCACTAAGAGCGTAATGACAGTTTAAAAGTAGAATCAATATAATCTGTCATAAGCTTGTTAGTTTGTTTGTTGTTGTCGCTCTTCTTTTTAAATGCTTGTTTTTACATAATCTCCAGAATGGTTGTAATTTTTAGTGGAAATGTTTAGTATTTAAAGTACAATTTTATGAATAGCTGTATTTTATATGTAAATGCTGATCGCCAGTTAATACCAGTGATCCAGTGATCACTGATTNTCCGTGATCTAGTCGGATGCTCCAACCACTGAGCTACTGGAGCCTCTATGGTGAGCAAGGGTGAAATGTGGGTCTTTGACTGGAACCGCATCGCGCAGTCATACAGCCAAATGATGTCTTGGCGCATATGAACTCACTAACTGCATCGCGCAGTCACATTAAGGTATATCAAAGATGCAACCAACCACCCTCCAAAGTGGGTATTATAAGGAAAATTTTCAAGGTAGAAATTTTTCAAGGTAGAAACATCAACTCGGAAAAAAATTCCGAGTTCCAGATGGGATCCCATCTGAGTTGATGTTTCTACCTTGAAAAATTTCTACCTTGAAAATTTTCTTTATAATATTGCAAATTTTATGGTTATATTTCATTGGTAGAGCAACTCTAAATACGTTTCAAAATGGAGATTCGAGTGGAATTAGTTAACCTAATTTACCGACCCAGCACAACGCGAGTAAAAAAAACACACTTCGATAAACCTAGTATTTTACCGTAGACTCGAAGGCGTGTGGCTTGCCATGATCAGTTGTATTGGTTGTATGATGTTCTCTCACAATCTAGCATCTGCTTGATTTACAGTGTGTCGAGACGACTACGTACGAGCCCCAGGTACTACGATGCCAAGGGAACGGAGATCCCTGGTAAAAATTGTCAGTTCTCACCAGGAGCCATATGGCTCCTGTTACGTTCTCACTAATTAAAATTTCGTTAAATAAATTCTTAAACACCCTTGTGAGAAAATAAACGTGTGTCGCACGTTAAAGCGCGTGGATCAGCACGAAAAAAAAAGGCTCATGGAATTCACAAGAAAGCACGAAAATGCTTTTCAAGACTAATACGTGTAGAACAGGCGTGAAACACGCGTGAAAATGCAAAAATCGAAAGAAAGGCATGGAAATGTTACTTAAGTCTGAAACATAGACGTGTGTGACACACGTTAACGCGCGTGGATCAGCGTGAAAAAAAGGAAGGAATTAACAAGCGGTTAAGAAGAAGATTGACGCTTTTTAAAAGCAGGACAGATTGTGTTGAGAGAAAAATTCCTATCACTTTTTCTTCGAAAAATGATTCACATCTTTTTTGAGATCGCGCGCAGTTGAACGAAAGGTATAAAACATCAATTCCGTTTTGACACTCGCTCGTCACCTTGCTAGAAGCAATTTTAGACGAAAAAGGTCAACTTTTTTTTTTCAGATATATACTGAAGAGAAAAAACATTGAACAATCTCTTGCTTTGATTTTTAAGGGTGCTAGCTGATTCAAGATTTGAAGTCAGCCTTTCTTTTGTTAACCCTTCACCTTCTCCTCGACCTTGTTCGTAGAGCTTTTCTCTTTTAATTTGGAACTACGGTTTTTCTTCAGATATCACTTTTGACATGTAGACAGGTTAAAGATCGATTCCCAGTTCGCTGCATCCAGGGTCCACTCCAACGTTCCTAAACGTAAGGCGTTCGGACGATTTACGCCCGTAGTTTGCTCCGGCTTCCTACACAGGCCACGGGAAATAACGCTTTACAGCTCTCGCGAAGGCACGTGGTACTGAAAAATATGGCGTGTTTTTAGTGTAATTTTACCGTCAGTAACTTCGAACTCTCGATAACTCGAACCTCCCGCTTATGGTTAGCCAAATGTTGCAAAATTCAACAACTTGCCCCTTCATATTCGACAACTTATATTTATGTTCAACAACATATATTTATATTCAACAATACGCATTTTCTTTCAACTTCAACCAAAATTCTTTTCATTCAACAAAAATATTTGTTCAACTTCGAATTCAACCCAAATGATTTTCATTCAACAAAAATAATTATTCGGCTTCTACCAAAATCATTTTCATTCGACAATATTTGTTCAACTTCAACCACAATCATTTTTATTCAACAACAATAATAATTCAACTTCTATCATGCATAGTGATTTAATAACATACCTTCTTTTATGACAAAGGTTTTCAATGTTCCCGGACATTCAAAATATCGTCATTCAACAAAATTCCCCGTCCCTTCCCCCGAACTACCCCGAACGCTGTTACAAATCCCTAGTGTTTTGGGTATCCGAAACACTGAAAGCGTAAAACTGACGCAAGTGAAATCATCCACAATTCTGCTCAAAACCCATTTATCTTCTTACGAAGCTTTGTCTCAATAAATTAAAGCGTTCTTTAGCTTGATATAAACACAATAGTCCGCAGTACATACAAAACCGACTGTTTTCAGCGACATACAAAACCGACTATTTTCAATTCCCGATAACTTGAACTCCGATAATTCGAACCTTTTTCGACCTTTTTTAATTTCCCTTGAAGGTTTGAGTTATCGGGAGTCGACAAGGCAGGGCTGAAACAGTGTTCTGATATAAGGGTCAGGGGCAGATTATAAATATTAAGAGCGTTCGAATTTATTTTTGGTCAGGTCAGAAATAGGGTAGGGAAAATCGTAGATTTTGGCCATAAATAGAGTAAGGGTTTTGGGAAGCGGGCCGCACAAAATATTCAATTTTTCTGGGAGTAACCTTCCCCTCCTTCCACCCGCTTGCCCCTCCCCACACACACACCCGGGCAAAGTATGGATTACGCGCGAATATTGTCACGACACCAACTCGCGCGGGTAACGCGTGAGAGCAGTGAACGCTCCAAGCTAGCCCAGCATTCTTTGCAACAACAGTTCGTCCATGTTGTTGAACGAGGCTGAGAAAAAGGCAGACTAATTAACAGATTAATTTGTTCTTATTCGTTGTGTATTTAGTACCTTTCCTTGTAGTGCTTTCATGCTTTGTTCGTATGGAGGACTTTCTCCTTATCAGTGTACCTGTTGTATATTCAAAGAAGAACTTCGCTTGGAGCTGGGGAGCTTTGTTG